CGATCAACGCAGCCACCATCGACAGGTCGAATACATTTTGCAATTCAGCGTACACCGGATAGATGGCGCTCAGATCCCCGAAATGTTGGGTGAAATTCCAGGCGAACTCGCGATTGAGCGGTTCGGCGTCTCCCGTATGAACGCGGTGCCCCTGTGCGGTGAGCAATTCGTTTTCACTCAGCACCTGCACCGCTTGCCCGCGGAGTTCGAACGCCAAGTGATCGGGGGTGGCCAATAGCGACTGATAGTTGAGAGTGAACCACCACCGCAGAACGTCCATGGGTGGCGGCGACCCGCCCTTGGGGATGGAGATCATCTCGAGGTAGCTCGGCACATTGTGTGTCCCGTCTGCCAGGCCGATTCCAATCAGCTTCATGTGATAGTCGGCTTCCACCAGAATGCGTGCCACCCGGGTATCGCTCGGGATGCCGTAGGTGTCGACGTCCTGCTGACCTAGCTTTGCCTGCAGAGTGTCGAGCCATTTTGAACGTCCTCCGGGCTTAAGCGGTTTAGCGGACGAAGCTTCGATGAAAGCCATGGCTCGGGCCAGCCCCTCAGTGCGTGGCGTGATCGAGCAGCCGAACTCGGCACCTGGGCCGGAACTCATGTGACGCAGGATTACGACCAGGTCATCGAGTTCCAGAACGGGTCGTCCGGTCTCTGTGCTCACGCGTCGTCCAGCCCGATCGATATGCCAAGCCCCCGCAGGCCCGGCTAAGACCAGATCGCCAGTCTCTGGATAAACCAGAACGAATTGAACTCGCTGGAGCCCGGCCAGGGTTCGCATCGATTCATCAATTTGCCCGCCGGCGGCTAACTTCAGCTGCACAGCCTTCTCCAGTCGGTTCAACGAAATCTTTCGCAATGGCGAGGGGGCCATCACGTTGCGATCCGTTTCCGATTCTGCGCTGCTTAACCTGGCCATCAACCGCAGCCGGTCTAAGCGGCCGCCTTGTTCGACGGCTTCGAGTCGCGTGAGCATTCCGTCAACATCGACGTACACCCCACCGGCGAATTCATCGATCGAGCCCGGACCACCTAGATCGGCCCACGACACCGGCTCGACGGTCGAAACGATCAACTCAATCAGCTCATCGAAGTCGGCTTGCGGCCCGCCGCCGGGGTTGCCAGGGGCGGTAAAGACGCCTCCCGGTTGCCCTCGCTGCGGATCGTTTCCTCCGGGCAAAGCCTGATTGCCGGGATCATTGCCAGCGGGGGCGAAGGGGTCGTTCAGTTGAGCGTTGTTGAACTGTGCGAGAATAGCCGGCGGGCTGTCGCGCACCACGCGTCCGCGAATCAAGTCGCTATCGATTTTGGAAATGGTGGAAATGTAAGCGTCGACCATTCCCGATTCGGCCTGGGCGGCAGCAATGGTGGCCAACTGTGCGTCACGTTCAGGGCCGGCTCGCAGTTCCATGGCCTGACTCAGGGCGGGGGCAAACTCTCCGGCAGCAAGGTGCGATCGCAGCCGCTGTTCAGTATCACGGTCGGTAGTTGGCGTTTGTGCGACACCAACCGCGTGGCACCAGAATAGTGAGGCACATGCCACAACCAGCAGCATTGCCGCTTGCTGCGAGCCCCGCAGATGCTGCAGGTTCACACGTGTTGTCGAGAATCGACAGAACTGAAGAATCGCGCATGCGCGCCCACGACGAGAAATCATGGCTGCCTCCTCCGTTGCCACTGTTCCGATGGCACCGACGCCCTGGCGTCACCTTCTCACATTCGCATGGCAAAGGTCAAGAAAATTCTGCGCCAGCACTCTTAGAATCGAGGCCTGCCTTCTACTGCTTCATCGACTCGGTAAACTGAGTATTCTGCAATGCCCCAATGGCTCCCATTAAATTCATAGTGCGATTGCACTTACCTGGCCCGTCTGTTTACAGCCGATCGATTCATGAACCCCGATAAACCTCTTCCTCCGGGATCGAAAGACAACGCCGCTTCGGAAAACTCTCCGCCCGAAATCCAGTCTTGGATCGAGTTCCTGGAGCTGTCCCAGAACGACGCCCAACGCATCCGCTCGTTGCGTCCCTTGTTCGCGTTGGGGATGCCTGAGTTTATCGAGGCATTCTACCGGCACCTGTTCGCTTTCCCCGAAACTGCCCGGTTTCTTCAAGACCCCGAGTTGGTCGCTGGCTTAAAAAAAGTGCAGCAGGGTCATTTCGAATCGATGCTCGACGCATCTTGGGACGAGCCATTCAGCGACGGTCGCCGGCAGGTTGGCCGGACCCACGCAGAAGTGGGAATCGACCCTCGGTTGTTTCTTGGTGGGTACAGCCAGTATGTGCAGTACTTCTTCCGTAATTTTGCTCAATCGCGGGGCATCGCCGAAGACGATGTCGATCACCTGTTATCGCTGGTCAAAGTCATCTTCCTAGACCTCGGCCTGTCCCTGGAAGCCTACTTCGATCAACTCACTTGCCAAATGCGGGAAGCCCTCGATTTATTTTGGCGGGCCAACAATGAATTGCGTCGGTTCGCCCAACTCACCTCGCACGACCTCAAAACTCCGCTGGGGACGGTGGCCAACCTCTGCGACGAAGCCATGGATGAGTTTGGCGACGAAATGCCTGAGGAAGCCCGATCGTTGATCAAGTCGGCCACCGAGCGAATCTATCGCATGAGTGTGATGATCGATGAACTGCTCTCGGTGGCCACCACTTCTTTCGACGGCATCAAGTCGCAACGCATCGACACCGAGTCGCTGTTCGAGGAGGCACTTGAACGAGTTCGACCCCAATTGGAAAAGAAAGGCATTGCGCTGGAAGTCGATAGGCCGCTGCCAGACTTGTGGGGAGACAAGATCCGACTTCGCGAGGTTTTCTCGAACCTGCTCTCAAATGCGGTCAAGTTTATCGATAAGAAACCCGGCAAGATTGAGATCTTCGGAAGAACCCAAGGGCAGCTCACCGTGATTGGTGTTCGCGACAATGGCCCTGGGATTCCGTCGGAAGAACTTGATCGGGTGTTTGTTCCTTTCCGCCGCTTACCCAATCATCGCTCTCACCCGGGATCGGGATTGGGTTTGTACTTCACCAAGAACATCGTGGAGGAACACCACGGTCGTATCTGGGCAGAGTCGAAGCCTAACAAAAGCACGACTTTCTTTATCGAGTTACCCGCTGTGCCTTCCGAGTCGTAGACACCGATACTCTCGCTGTTAACTGCTACCGTATAAGCGATCAAGTTCGTTGCGGCACGCCGTTAGCCTCTCGACCAATCGTGGCCCCTTCTGGTTGCCATCGAATCTCGTACTTATCGAGTAGGCGATACAGGCTACGACGGTTGATCCCGAGCGCTCGAGCGGTGCGAGCCTTGTTTCCGCCTTCGCGGTTGAGCACCTCCATAATGTGGGCTCGTTCAACCTCGGCCAGGGCGTCACCATCGATCGTGGGTCGCGAGGTCGGCGCTGGGCGGCCTCCGAGTACCGCGGCCGGTAGATCTTGGCAACGCAATTGACGACCGTCGGCCATGATCTTTGCACGGTCGAGGGCGTTAATTAGTTGACGAACGTTGCCCGGCCATTCGTAGGCCTCGAGTCGACGCATCATCTCATCGTCCACTTCCCAATCGTCACCGAGGAAGCGATCGACCAAGAGGCGGATATCGCCCACTCGATCTCGCAACGGCGGTAGCTCAAGCGACATTACATTGATGCGGTAGTAGAGGTCCTCGCGGAACCGCCCTGCCCGCACTTCCTCTGCCAGGTCGCGATTCGTAGCGGCCAAGAGGCGCACATTTACACGACGCTCTTTGATCGACCCGATGCGACGCATCGAGCCATCTTCAAGCACTCGCAACAGCTTGGCTTGAATGGCGCCCGACATCTCGCCGATCTCGTCGATCAACAAGGTCCCACCATCTGCCACTTCAAACAGCCCCTGCTTAGTGCCCACAGCTCCGGTGAACGAGCCTTTCTCGTGGCCGAAGAGCTCACTCTCCAAGAGTGTCTCGGGCAATGCCGCGCAGTTGATCACCACCAGCGGCATCGATGCGCGTTGACTGGCCTTATGCAAGGCTCGAGCTACCAGCTCTTTACCAGTCCCGCTTTCACCCTGGATGAGAATGGCTTTATCAGTGGGCCCCGCCCGCTGGATGAGCCGATAGACCTCTTGCATGGCGGGCGATTCACCGACGATCTCGTTCGGCTTCTCGCTTCTCGAGAGAACGGTCTTCAGTTGGGTGTTTTCCTTGCGGAGCCGCCGCCGCTCATTGGCCTTGTGGATCACGGCTTCCAGCTCAGACAACGGAAACGGCTTACTAAGGAAGTCGAAGGCCCCGTTTTTCATGGCCTCTACGGCCGTCTCGATAGTGCCCTGGCCGGTGAGCATAATTGTTTCGCAGTCGGCCCCGACCTCGTTGAGTTTCTCTAGCAACTCAATTCCAGACATGCCTGGCATGACCATGTCGAGCACCGCTACGTCGAACTGCCGACGTTGTACAAGATTCAAGGCCTCTTCCGCGTCGGATGCCTCGTGCACCTCGTAGCCACGACGCAAGAACCGCCTGACCACGGTGCTGCGAAAATCGACGTCGTCATCAACAATCAGCAGGTCGATCTTTGCATCGTTCATGATGAAACTCCCGAGTGCTCTTCTGAGCTAAATCTCCATGGTGTTTGTTCAATTAACCATGTAGGTGCAACGTTCGTGCCAAGTGCGATAAGGGGTAACTATTTGCGACCAACGGCCAGAAAGTCCCCGAAAACTAAGGACTTTTCTGGTTGGCGAACGTACCAACAGAAGACCTTCATTATGTGTCGTGAGCGGAGCAATGTGCTATAACGCACACCTCAAGTTTGTGGCAGGGGGATAGAATGGGGCTCGGGTGGGGGATCCGGCGGTGGACTGTGCTCAAAAAGTACGGTCCTTGCGAAATTAGCTGGTAAGTCGGTACTCAGCTTGATGATATTGCCAAGAACGGCATTCAACTTGCACTAACTTGGTTGGCCGAAGGTAATTCCTGCTGGCACCAAGCCTTGATTGGAGGGTGGCACCATGAAAGCCAAAAAGATTCTGTTTCCGACCGACTTCTCGACCCCGAGCGATGCCGGGCTCGCTCATGCGACCTCGTTGGCTCGAGACACGGGAGCGACTTTGTTGATCGTGCATGTTGAGGAACCCCCTACGGCGTACGGAGGGGGAGAAATGTACTACGGCATCCCCGAACCAGATACGGCGGCACTGCAGCGGATGCTGGAAGCGGTGGTTCCAACCGATCCGAATGTGACCTATGAGCACCGGCTTATCATCGGCGACCCGGCAACAGAAGTCGTACGGCTGGCAAACGATGAGCACGTCGACATGATCGTGATGGGAACTCACGGACGCACCGGGCTAAGCCGGCTGCTGATGGGCAGTGTGGCTGAAGCTGTGGTTCGTCGAGCCGAGTGCCCCGTATTCACGTTCAAACAACCGCACCACGCAGCAAAAGAAAAAGCTGCCGGTGAGTAACGCTCTGGGGTGGGAATGTAGGATAGATGATTGTGGTGTGGCTGCCTGCTAGTTGCTCCGCAATTCACGGCCAAGATGTCCTTAATCGGAGGACTGAAGAGATGAATACCGATGGTGCCCTCCAGCGATTGCTTTCGCTAAAGGTCCGCGATGCCATGTCGACACACGTGGTGCATGTATCTGCGAACGAGACCATGGAAGCCGCCGCGGCTGCGATGGTGAAGCATTCCATCACTGGAGCTCCGGTTATTGACGAACAAGGTGCGTGTATCGGCGTACTGAGTGCATTCGATTTCGTCAAGCGTGAAGCTCGTTACCGGTCCGAGACCGGAGAACTCGACTTCGCCACACACAATGTGGCCCGAGAGTCACCTGACAGCCCTCGCGAGTTAACCGAAGTGAATGATGCATTGGTGTCGTCAAACATGTCGAAAGGTATTCAGGCCATCTCGGCCGATGCTTCGTTGCTCGAAGCGGCACGAGAGATGTGTGCCGAGCATATTCATCGTCTTCCGGTGCTCAACAAGGCGGGCCATCCCACGGGGTTGATCAGTTCGCTGGATATCGTGGCTGCGCTGCTGGGCGCCGTGGATGAGCAGGTTGAAATCCCAAGCTAGAGAACGACACTTGGGTCGTTGCAGATTAAGGAACGTAACATAGATACCTGTTTAAGCCTCATTGAAGGAGCCTGAGCCATGAAAAAGTTGGGAATCGCAGGTATCTTGATCGCAGTACTGGCGGTGTTCACCCTTCCATCGCGAGGGCTAGACCAACCCAATGAGAATGTGCAGAAGCTGATGCGGCACAAACTCGAGTATTCACAGGGCGTGCTCGAAGGCTTATGTGTCGAAGACTTCCCAATGATCGTCGAAAACACGAAGGAATTGGGCAACATCAGCAAGGCGGCCTCGTGGAATGTGATTGAAACGCCGGAGTACGCCGTCTACAGCGCCGAGTTCAGCCGAGCAGTGAAAGACCTGGCGGAAGCTGCGGAGAACAAGAATCTGGATGGCGCCACGCTGGCCTACGTGGGCATGACGATGAAGTGCGTTAGCTGCCATAAATACGTGCGTGGCATAAGGGTGGCTGCCGGCGAGAGCGTATCGCCAGAATTCGAGTTGCAGACGGCGGCCAACGTGTTACGTTGACCACGCAACTTCTACTGGCAGACTTTCTCTGAAGAGGGTTCTTATGGCGGCGCTCGACGGCGTCGAGGTCTTGGATCTGACGCTGCTTCTCCCGGGGCCTCTTTGTACGCAAATTCTGTTGGACCTGGGAGCGAACGTCACCAAGATTGAGCCTCCCGCTCCTGGCGATTACATGTCGCTGTGGCCTCCGCTGGCCGGCTCGGTTTCGGCGATGTACCTGGCACTCAACCACGGTAAGCAACAGCTCACGCTCAATCTCAAAGACGCGACCGACCGTGAGAAGTTTCTGGAGATGGTCGCCAAGGCAGATGTGGTTGTGGAAGGATTCCGGCCGGGCGTACTTGATCGGCTCGAAGTGGGTTACGAACAACTGAGGGCCGTGAATCCCCGCATTATCCTGTGTAGCATCTCTGGCTACGGCAAAGATGGGCCCTTATCGCAGCGAGCCGGGCACGACCTCAATTACCAGGCTCTGGCTGGGGTGTTGTCGTTATCTGGTGGCGATGCATCTACGCCGCCGAATCCATCGCTGCAAGTTGCCGATACCTGTGGCGGATCGTATGCCGCTGCAATGCTGATCATGGCGGCATTGTTCGAACGAACCACAACTCACGTCGGTCAGCACATCGACGTGAGCATGTCTGAACAACTGCTGCCGCTGATGACTACGTCGTTCGCCAACGCATCGGTTGAGAATCGCGATCCGCAGCGGGATGGAGAGCTGCTCTCCGGAGGAGCACCCTGTTACCGCAGCTATCGCACGGCCGACGATCAATACTTCACCGTGGGGGCGTTGGAGCCGAAGTTCTGGCATGCTCTGGCGGCCGCAATCGAGTTGCCCGAACTGGCCGAAACTCCTCACTTGGTCACCGAGCAATCAGAAGCGATTACCCAAAGGCTGGTCGAAGTTTTCGCTTCGAAAACGGCCAAGGAATGGACTGCGATCTTCGCAGCCACAGACGCCTGCTGTGAAAAAGCCTTGGAGTTCAACGAGGTTGTGTCTCACGAGCACTGGGTCGCTCGAGAAAGCTTTCGGGAAATTGAGGCTTCCGACGGCAGTCGGCTGAAAGTTCCCAAAATGCCGGGATCTCTGGCCGGAATGAATCGCCCCCGCTGATCGAGCGCCTCCCCCCTCTGTAGAACGATATTTCTTTGCCCTTCGTCGCACTCCCTTGTACAGTAGGGACTTGAAGAGGCACGCAAGTTCTACATACCCGTCCGCGCATCTGGAACGTGCACCGGCGGTGTTGTGTCAGTCGCGCCAATTCAATTCGTGGGCACGCGCATGGTCCAAGACCACAACGACCTGCACCCCTCTTCGGGCACAGATTCTGCAAACGACGTGGCGGCCTCTTTGCCTGCCAAAAAGAAGTCGGCCCCAGCGGCAAAGAAACAATCCAGCGGACAAAGCTCCGCATCGACTTCCAATGGTCAATCGGCTGGCAAAACCGTTGTGAAAGCGGTTGCCAAACAGAATGGCAGCACGAATGGAGCCCCTTCCTCTTCGGAAACAACAGCGGGAGGATCGACAGTTGCCGGCGCGCGACAAGCTAAGCTGAAAAAGGCCTTGCGTGCGAATTCGTCCGAGGACAACGCCTCGCCAGGGTCTGACGGCGACGATAAGGATTCAGGTTTCCGACTGCATCGAGGCTTAATTCAGGGCCTGGAATCCTGGAGCGGTTCGCTCATCGTGCACGCGGTGATTCTCATCGTGCTGGCCTATATCTTTCTGCCAATCCCAAAGAAGGCGCCGCCACCCACGATCAACAGTGTGGTGCTGCGTCCCGAAGAAACACTGACGCAACTGCTCGACGAAAACACCGAAGCCGGATCGATGATTCAAATGGCGGGCGCTTCGAGTACTGCGCTCGATGGAGCCGCTTCGCAAATCGAAGCAGTCGCCGAACCCAAGCTCGACACGGCCCCGACTGAGGGTGTTCAAGCCCCGCGAGTTGGGCTCGATGCCGGTTTGGCCAGCCTGCCGGACAATGGGCTCGGTAGCGACCTGGGCATGGAATCGCCTGGCGAACCGGCGGCGGCAGTTGAAGGATACGGCGGTGCGATGGACCGTATCACGCAAGAAATTCTGTTGATGCTGGACAGCAGCAAGGTTTTGGTGGTCTGGTTGTTCGACCAATCACTGAGCCTGAAGGACGACCAGGAAGAAATCAAAGGCCGGCTCGATCGCGTGTATCAGGAACTTGGGTTCCGCACGGTCACCGATGGCGATGCCTTGTTGACTGTGGTAGCCAGCTTTGGTGCAAACAGCACCGTCCACACAAGGCGGCCCACTACTGAAATCACTGACATCCAGAAAGCGATCGATGAGATTCCCATCGATGAGTCGGGCGAAGAGGCCACCTGCAAGTCGCTGGTGGAGATCATCGGCTCGCACCGTAAGTATGCGATCCAGGGCAAACGGCAACTGGCACTGATTTTGGTCACTGACGAAAGCGGCGACGACGGCGAGGGCATCGAACCGACGATTCAAACCGCTCGAGCCGCGAACTGCCGGATCTATGCCTTGGGGCGTGAGGCGGTGTTTGGCTATCCTTACGCCACGCTTCGATGGATCGACCCCGAAACAAAGCTAGAGTTCTGGCGACAAGTTCGCCGCGGGCCTGAGACCCCACGAGTCGAACAGATGCAATCGAATGGCATCTGGCGGCGCTACGATGCCCATCCCAGCGGATTTGGTCCTTACGAGTTGGTTCGACTGTGCCGTGAAACCGGCGGCATCTACTTCATGCTGCCGAGCCTGGAGACGAATCTTGTTCGAGGCGAGAAGCGGATCTATGAGCTTGACGCCATGCGGCCGTACCTGCCTGATACCAGGAGCCGTGCCGAGTACGACAGCGATACCCGGCAGAATCCCATGCGTCGCACGATCGGCGAGGTGATCGAAACGCTCAATCCGGTTTCCAATGCTGGCTTCGCACTGCAACAAGACTATCCGGTGGCACCGAACGATTTTGTGTCTGCCGCGAATCGGGAAGCGGCCAAAGCCCGCGTGATGATCGACGCCTATCGCTCGGCCGAACAAACCTTGCGTCAATTCGAGAAAGAGCGTCGATTCGAGGCTTCGCACCGCTGGCAAGCCAACTACGATCTGCTGCTGGCCCAAACCATCGCCTACCGTGTTCGTGTGAACGAGTACGTGGCCTATATCGATGCGTTCATGCAAAACCCCAAGGCCCGCAAGAACCCGAAAACCACCCACTGGCGGGTCGCCTTCCGCCCCAAAACAATTGCCTCCGAGTTGCCGACCACCGGCGAGCAGACCAGCGACTTGGTGCAGGCTTCCAGCGAGCTGTTTATCAAGGTGATTAAGGATCACCCAGGCACGCCCTACGCCGCCCGAGCTCAGTGGGAAATCGGCCGGGGTTACGGGATCGAGATGAACGAGCATTTCGAAGACCCCCGCCGGGCCACAATCGACGTGCCAAACTTCTAGCTTGCTAGTGGATTAAAACCAAGCTTTTCTGACTGTGGTGGGCCCAATCCCGGGTGCCAGCAAAACGTTGACCTTCGTTTACGCTTTGCCCTATACTCCCCGGCAGATCAGCGGAAATTCATAAACTCACGAGGACACTATGAGTACCACCACCAGCAGCGGCATCCACGACGATATTACCCAATGCATTGGAAACACGCCGCTGGTTCGCCTGCAACGGCTTACCAAAGGATGTGGGGCTACGGTGGTGGCCAAGATGGAAAACGTTAACCCGCTGTGGAGCGTGAAAGATCGCCTCGCCCTGGCGATGATCAATGCCGCCGAGCGGGATGGGTTGATTAAAGACGACACAATCATCGTCGAGCCCACCAGTGGGAACACCGGCATCGGGCTGGCTTATGTCTGCAGTGCCCGAGGTTACAAGTTGATGGTCACGATGCCCGAGAGCATGAGTCTGGAACGTCGCCGTATGCTGAGGGCATTGGGCGCCGAGCTGGTACTCACTCCCGCGGCCGAGGGCATGCCGGGGGCCGTGCGGAAGGCCGAGGAGTTGGCCTCGCAGAATTCGAACTATTTCATCCCGCAGCAATTCAAAAACCCTGCCAACGCTGAGATCCACCGCAAGACCACTGCCGAAGAGATTTGGCGAGATACCGAGGGTAAGGTCGACATCTTCGTCGCAGGCGTGGGAACCGGTGGCACGATCACTGGCGTGGGCGAAGTGCTAAAGGCCAAGAACCCGAATGTAAGAATCGTCGCCGTCGAACCGGCTGCCAGCCCGGTGATTAGCCAAACCAAGGCCGGGCAAGAACTCAAGCCGGGCAAGCATACCATTCAAGGTATTGGTGCGGGCTTCATTCCCGATGTGTTAAACGTCGATGTCATCGACGAAGTGGTTCAGGTAGCCGACGAAGACGCGATTGAGACCGGTCGTGAACTCTCCAAGCAGGAAGGCCTGATGTGCGGCATCAGCTCAGGTGCAGCCGCCTGGTCGGCCATTCAAGTGGCCAAGCGTCCGGAGAATGCCGGCAAGCTGATTGTCGTCGTTCTGCCCGACCTCGGTGAGCGTTACCTGTCGACGAAGCTCTTCCCAGAGTAAACGGCGGAAAGCAGTTCTTTTCAAAAGCGATGAAACCGACTGTGTGAGGGTGCGCGCGGATTTTGGGTTGTCTTAGAAATGGCAACATTGGATCGAGTTGGGAGGCGAAGCGAACATGCCTTTGAAGCTCTCGACCTTCAATCTCCATGAGCCTCGTCCGAACGGCGATGGTCTTAGAGTCGCGACCGTGCGTCACCTACCGCGTGGCGTGCGGAAAAGCGATTGGAAGTTCGACTCCTGGCTTCCGATCTTGGCCCCTTCGGCCGAGTTGTTAGCCGAATTCAAGCAAGGCAAGCTCAGCGACGCAAAGTTCTTCCAGCGGTATCGGGCCGAAATGAAGAACCCCGACCCGCGTCACGTCATCGAGCTTCTCGCCGCCGTGGCCGAGAAAATACCGGTGGCCGTGGGATGCCACTGCGAAGATGCGTCGCGGTGTCATCGCACGGTGCTGGAAGAGTTGATACGCAAGGCGGCCAACACCTAACGATCAATCATCTTCCCGCAACTGCGCCAGCACCGTGTAATCTTCCAGCGTCGAGGTATCTCCCACGGTTTCTTTCCCCGAGGCGATGTCGCGTAATAGGCGACGCATGATTTTTCCGCTGCGGGTTTTGGGGAGCGAGGTGGCGAAGCGAACATCGTCGGGGACGGCCAGGGCACCGATTTCTTGTCGAACGTGGTCCTTGAGCGTTTGCCTGAGTTCCTCGCTGGGTTCGGCGTTCTTCAGCACGACAAACACGGCGATGGCCTCGCCCTTGATGTCGTCGGGGCGGCCAATAGCAGCCGACTCGGCCACTTCGGCGTGGCTCACCAGGGCGCTTTCGACTTCGATCGTGCTGAGGCGATGACCGGCCACGTTGATCACGTCATCGATGCGGCCCATGATCCAGTAGTAGCCGTCTTCATCGCAGCGGGCATTGTCGCCGCACAGATACTTGCCAGGAACGCTCGACCAGTACTGATCGCGATAGCGTTGATCGTCGCCCCAGATACCCCGCAACATACCGGGCCAGGGTCGTTCGATCACCAAGCGGCCCCCTTGCCCGGTGGAGACGGGTTCGCCGGTTTCATCAAGAACAGCGGGTTTGATTCCAGGCAAGGGGCGTGTGCAACTTCCTGGTTTCGTCGGCGTGGCGCCCGGCAGTGGGCTCATCATGATTCCCCCGGTTTCGGTCTGCCACCAGGTATCGACGATGGGGCAACGTTCGCCGCCGATTTTCTTGTGGTACCACATCCAGGCCTCGGGGTTGATTCCTTCGCCCACCGTGCCCAATAGCCGGAGGCTGGAAAGATCGCGACCGTCGATCCATTTGTCGCCCCATTTGATGAACGCCCGAATTGCAGTCGGGGCGGTGTAGAAGATGGTGACGCGGTACTTCTCAACGATCTCCCAGAACCGCCCTTCGTCGGGCCAGTTGGGGGCGCCTTCGTACATAACCACTGTGGCCCCGGCCGAGAGTGGGCCATACACCACATAGCTGTGCCCGGTGACCCAACCGATGTCGGCCGTGCACCAGAAGATATCTTCGTCGCGATGGTCAAACACCCATTCGAAGGTCTTCTTCGCATACAGGTTGTAGCCGGCGGTGGTGTGTTTGATTCCCTTGGGTTTTCCGGTCGATCCGCTGGTATAGAGGATGTACAGCAAGGTTTCGCTATCGAGCGGCTCGGCTGGGCAATCGGCCGAGGCTTCGGCCATCAGTTCGTCCCACCACAGGTCGCGGCCGGCCTTCATCGAGACGTCGTTGCCGACCCGACGTAGAACAATGCATTTTTCGACCGTGGGGGATTTCTCCAGCGCCGCATCGACGTTTTCTTTCAACGCAAGTTGTTTCCCACGCCGCCACCCTGCGTCGGCTGTGATGACGAGCTTCGCGCTGGCATCGTTGTTGCGGTCGGCAATGGCTTCGCTGGAGAAGCCGCCGAAGATCACCGAGTGCACGGCCCCAATGCGGGCACAAGCCAACATGGCGATGGCCAACTCGGGCACGAGCGGCATGTACATCGAGACTACGTCGCCCTTCTTGATGCCCTGGCTCTTCAGCACATTGGCGAATTTGCACACTTCGCGATGCAACATGGCGTAAGTCAGCACCCGCTGATCGCCTGGTTCACCTTCCCAAATGAGGGCGGCTTTGTTCTGTCTGGGAGTTTCTAAATGGGCATCGAGGCAGTTGTAAGAAACGTTGGTTTGTCCGCCGACGAACCACTTGGCAAACGGGGCGTCCCACTCGAGCACCTTGTCGTATGGCTTGAACCAATGAAGTTCCTTGGCGTGCTTATCCCAGAAAGCTTCCGGATCTTTGTCGGCTTCGTTCCACAGGGCCTCGTATTCCTCCATGGAAGAGATTTTGGCCGCCGCTGAGAATTCGGCTGGTGGAGGAAACACGCGATCTTCGCGCATTACGTGATCGATTTGACCTGAGGATTGGCCGGCCATTTAGTTAACTCCTTGGCTCTGTGACAGTGCAGACGACATCTGCATTGCGATTCCGGAAGGGTGGCACGAACCGCTCTTAGGGTCGATCCTGACCAGTCAGAGAACTGATTCCCCGCGACTCATGACCGGCGGCAACCACAGGCAACCGAACTGCCTGCGGCTTCAGAGCTGAAACCCTTCTGCTTGCAACGCGTCGATTCCGAAGCCCCGAGAGCAACTCGATGCTGGAGATCAATTCGCACACCATGAGCGCGGATTTTAAGGCCGCCGAAAACAAGTGTCAACGAATTGCAAAGCAGCAAGCAATCCGAAGTTAGGTGCTAGTGCAAGGAGAATGCAGAAGGAACCCACGCTATTCACGCGGGAGTTCGCGGATGTAGATGTTTTTGAAGAACAGCTCGGTACCGTGGCTTTGGAGTTCGATTTGGCCGGTGGGATAGATCGGCTTCTCTCGTTCCCAGTAGTTTTCCATCACGACGTTATCGACTACGAGCTGGTCGTTGAGATGAACCGTGACTTTGTCGCCGACCATGCGAATGCGCATCGTGTTCCATTCGCCTACGGGTTTGTCAGCCTTCAATAAGGGATCGCTGGGGTGCTCTTTGTTGTTGAACAATCCGCCAGAGCCGACTTCGCGATCCCAAATCTGCACCTGGGGTGCGCCACGCAGGTAGATGCCACTGTCGCCTTCTTCGTTGATCCTCCAATCGACCAGCATCTCGAAGTCGCCGTAGTCCTTGACCGTGCAGAGATGGTTGTGGCCGCCCATGCCATCGTAGTGGATGGTTCCGTCAACCACGCTCCAGTGATCCTGCATCTTGGCGTCGGCAGCCGATTGGGCCTGCTGAAGTTGGGCAGGGGTGAGTTCCGCCCTCATCTTGGGGTCGCCAACCAGCCCCTTCCAACCTGAGAGGTCGGTACCGTTGAACAGGGCCTCGAATCCTTCGGGCGGGGTGTTGTCTCCGGCAACTACCGGGAGAGACGACGCGGCCAACCAAGTGAACACCGAAAGGTAAGCAAACGCGGCGAACCGGTTAGTCAGACGCATGACAAGAATCTCGAAAGGCCGTTCTGCAAGAATCAAGTGGCCCGGACACAAACCGACACACCTTGCTGTCAACCAGTCGGAATCTGAGCAGCGCCAAAAACCACATTCCGATCGTAAGTGGACGGCGGTCCAAACGCAAGAAACTTACGGGTTTTGGGAAAGGAAGTGCTCGCTAGCAGGCCGCGTGGGAGAGGCACTTCTTGAGGCAGGGCAACTTCGTGCCTACCGTCGGGTCTTTAGGATTAGAAGCCACCGCCGATCGACCATCACCCAATTTGTTAAGCGAGCAAGAAGAGAGTTCATCGCTCTGGGTGTTAATCGTTGCAAGGCAACAACATTGGTTATCTACCCACCAAATGTGGAAAGCCTTGACGGTTGGTTGCTTCGGACCGGCAAGACGCTAGAATCGTGGGCAATTCGCAATCCTGGTGTGACGGCCTTCGAACGAACCAGATTGAATGCCTAGCATCCGTGCCGTACCTCGTCTTTGGAGGATCCTTGCGCATGAAGGATCGTAAGCAATCGCGAAAGCCAGGTTCCGGCTTTCATCGACGTGATTTTCTCAGGGGTTCGAGTGCCGCAGCAGCAGCCACCGCACTTGCTACCGCCCCCGCATATGCCGAAGAGGCAACCGCAGCTTCCCGCGTCGTTGGACCGGGAATGACCACCATCACCCTCTCGGTGAATGGGAAAGACCAAAAAGTTGAAGTCGAACCGCGAATGACGCTTCTCGAAGCGCTGCGGTACGGCCTGAATCTCACGGGGGCCAAGCCCGTGAGCAGCAACGGATGCAGTGGGGCCAGCACCGTGCTGGTCAACGACAAACCAATGGCGGCCTCGACGCTGCTGGCTATGGATTGCATCGGTAAGAAGATTCGCACGGTAGAAAGTTTGGGCGATGACGACTCGGTCGTCCAAGCTTTCGTGCACCACGATGGTATGCAATGTGGCTTCTGCACGCCCGGTTTCGTCGTGGCTGTGCGGGCCTTTTTAGACAAGAACCCCGACGCCACCGACGAAGAGATTCGCGAGGGGCTCAACGGCAATCTGTGCCGTTGCGGCACTTATGCGAATGTAATCATGGCGGCAACCGAAGTGGTGAAGGGAGGTTCCCGTGGCTGAATATAGCTGGCCGAAATACGGCACTGCGACACTGCTGGGCACCGATCAAGACCGCATCGACGGGGTTGCCAAAGCCTCGGGTGCCGCGAAGTACGCCAACGACATCGTCGAGAAAGACATGCTCTTGGCCAAACCGCTGGGATGCCCTCACGCCCACTGCAAGATCAAGTCAATTAATATCGCGCCCGCCGAAAAGATTCCCGGCGTTCGTGCGATTCACACGATGAAGGAAGTCGGCAACGAAATTCAGTGGGAAGGCGATATTATCGCCGTGGTTGCCGCTGAAACCGAAGGTGCCGCAGCCGAAGGCGTCGCCGCGATCGAAGTTGAGTACGAAGTGCTCGACTTCTACGTTGACGACTCGAACCTGGAAGCCGCTGAAGAGGCCGACCAAACCCGTCGCGGCGGCAGCAATGTTCAACTCGAGAATGAGCCTGGCGACGACGAGGACGAAGAGGAGTTCGAGGAAGCCGAAATCAAGCGGCTTCTCGACGAATCGGACGTTGTGGTCGAAGGCGACTATGGCATTTGGGCCATCACCCATATGTGCCTGGAGCCTCACGGTTCGACCTGCCTGTGGGAAGGTGACAAGCTTACGGCCTATCTCTCGACTCAAAATGTGTCGGGAACCGCCGGACAGTTTGCCGGTCCCCTAGAAATCACCGCCGACGATGTGGTGGTGAACTGCGACTTCATTGGCGGCGGGTTCGGCAGTAAGTTTGCCGCCGACGCCTGGGGCGTGGCCTGTGCCCAAATTGCCAAAGACACCGGTCGCCCGGTGAAGTACATGCTCGATCGTGACATCGAGTTGAAGACGGCCGGCTCCCGACCCTCGGGCTTCATCCACGCCAAAGTGGGTGCCGACAAGGACGGTGTTGTCAAAGTTTGGGACTCGGAACACTGGGGAACCGGTGGGCCCGGTGGTGGTGGCGTCACGCAGGGTGTCATTCCCTATGTGTTTGATCCACCCAACCGACGTCGTAATGCCACGTTCATTAAGACGAACACAGGCCCCTCGCGAGCCTGGCGAGCCCCTAACCATCCGCAAGCTTGCCTGATGTCGCAGACGATCTATGACGACGTCGCAGCGAAGCTCGGCATCGACAGCTACGACGTCTTTCTCCGCAATCTGCCTTCGGTCAGCAACGACAAAGCTGACGTCTACAAGGATCAGATGGAGGTCGCCGCCAAGCTGATGGACTGGAAGGCCAAGTGGCATCCCCACGGTAAAGGCGACGCCAACGGTTCAGTTGTCTCCGGGCTCGGGATGGCGATCCACACCTGGGGTGGCGGTGGGCATACCTCGAGTTGCCTCGTCCGAATTCACCCCGACGGTGGTGTGGAGACCTCACTGGGTAGCCAGGACCTGGGAACCGGTACCCGAACCGCGATCGGAATGGTGGTGGCCGAGACATTCGGTCTGCCGCTGTCCGCGGTGAAGGTACACATCGGGTCGTCCGTCTATCCGGCCAGTGGGCCTTCGGGCGGAAGCACCACGATCGGTGGTGTTTCGGAATCGAATCGCCGGGCCTCGCAAGACGCATTGGCGAAGATCTTCGAGCTGGCCGCTCCGAAGCTGGATGCCAAGCCTGAAGATCTGGAAGCCAGCGAAGGCCGGATTCAGGTCAAAGGCAACTCCGGAACCAGCATGACCTGGAAAGAAGCCTGCAGCCTGTTGGGCCCCCAACCGCTGGAAGTGCAAGGCACGTTCAGTCGCGGTGGCGACAGCAAGCTTTCCAGTTCGCAAGTGGCCGGCGTGCAGATGGCCGAAGTCGAAGTGGACAAGGACACCGGCGTGGTGAAGATGAAGAAGTTTGTCGCCGTGCAGGACATGGGCCTGGTGGTCAATGCCCAAACGGCGGCCAGCCAAATCTACGGTGCCATCATCATGGGCATCGCTTATTCCTTGTTCGAAGAACGCATTATGGATCCTCGCACGGGCAACTTCGTGAATGCCGAGTTGTGCGATTATAAATTGCCGCGGTTGGGCGATACCGGCGACATCGTCGTCGAGCTGTATCAGCCCGAGAGTGAGTACAACCGTGGTGTAGTCGGTCTTGGTGAACCCCCGGTCATCAGCCCTGGTGCGGCCATTAGCAATGCGGTTTGCAATGCCCTTGGTGTTCGCGTTGGAGTCTTGCCGATGACGCCCCAGCGGGTGCTCGATTCTCTGGAGAAAGCGAGGACTTCCTAATGAAAGCTTTCGAATATGCGGCGCCCCGGCGCGAGGAGGAAGTGGTCGAACTCTTATCGGCCGAAGCTGGCCGTTCGGAGATCATCGCCGGTGGGACCGACCTCATCGGGTTGATGAAGAAGATGGTCGTTACGCCCGATCGCGTGGTGAACATCAAAGAGGTCGACTCCCTACGGGGTATCGATGCCGACTCACAGCGAGTGAGAATCGGCGCAACCACCACGTTGGATGAAGTGCTCGACAGCCCCGAGGTTGATCAATTCCCTGCGATCAAACAGGCGATTCGAGGCATTAGCAGTCCTCAGCTGCAATGCCAGGGAACCTTTGGCGGAGAACTTTGCCAGCGGCCACGCTGTTGGTACTTCCGCAATGGCTACGGCCTTCTGGCAGAGCAAGGACGCCTGGCGGCCGAGGGCGATAATCGCTTCCATGCCATTTTTGGTAATAGCGGGCCAGCGAAGTTCGTTTGCTCGTCGAGACTGGCTCCCGCACTGATCGCGATGGAAGCGCAGGTGCGGATTATCGGTCCCGGCGCGAACGATGTGTCGTCTCTCCCGTTGGAGTTGTTCTATCGCACTCCCCGTGACGGGCATCAACGCGAGAACGTCCTGCTACCCAACCAGTTGCTTTCTCACATCGAGATCCCCGCGGCAGAAGGCGTGGCCACCGCGACCTACGAAGTGCGTCACGGAGCAGGGCCCGACTACCCCTTGGCCGCAGCTGCAACCGCACTGTGGATTGAAGGTGGTGTGGTCCGACGTGCTCGCGTTGTGTTGGGCCAAGTGGCGCCCACGCCATGGGTATCTGAAGCGGCTGCCGCAGCACTTGTGGGGCAAACGATCAGTGAAAGTACCGCGAAAGCCGCGGCCGATGCTGCCGTGGCCTCGGCGACACCGCTTTCCAACAACCGCTATAAAGTGCAGTTGGCTCGTACGGCCGTCCAACGGTCGATCTTACGGGCCGGCGGCCTTGAAACGGGAGGATTCTAAGCATGGCTTACTACAGATCAACCGACGACCTGAACGTAATCCAAGGTCCGACCTGCATCCATCTGCGTTCAAAAGGCATGTACATCACCGGCCGCAGAGATCCCGAGGATGACGGGGAAGTCGGCGACGGGCACTGCTGGTGCAACAAAACCCAGAACGTGCTCGGCCCCGACGATGGCCTCGTTGATCGGCCCGAGTGCAAAGCGGCCCGAGCCTGCTATGAAGGTGCGATCTAAGCAGCATCTGATTGCTCACACTTAAGCAAACAAACCCACCGTCGAGCTAACTCGGCGGTGGGTTCTTTGTTTGAGCGTCGATATGTGCAGGAGGCCCTGCAGTAGGTGCAGGGCCAATTCAAGGCACCACACAACTGTAGTCGATTCGTGGGCTAAACCCGCGGGTGGCTGACCGCTAGGCGGAGGGTTGGAACTCTGAAGTTTCGGCCAGCTCACCGTTTTCGGGTTCTTCAACCCGAATGTGGCGGAATGGGCTGTCGTCCGCTGGGCTGTCGCCGAAGCTAATTCCCAATGCGCGGGCAGACTGCACGGCGGACCCATGGGGATCGACCTGCAGTAGCTTACTCACCGCATCTACAATCGGCACCGCGTCGATATTCGGCGGTTGGAAGCAGACCATCTGGCCGAACTTTCGCTCGTGCACCAATCGCACGGCATGTGCGCCGAACTGGGTGGCCAGCACGCGGTCGAAGGTGGTGGGAGGACCACCGCGTTGCAAGTGGCCGAGAATCACACAACGGGTCTCTCGCTGCAGGCGAGATTCGATCTCGGCGGCGACTACGTTTCCAACGCCACCGAGCCGAACCTGCTTGGCTCCGTCGCCACGACGCTCTTGGCAAACAAGTCCTTCGTTGGGCAGCATGGCTCCTTCGGCCACAACCACTAACGTGAACTTCTTGCCCTTGGTTTCGCGTTCGAGAATCTTTTGGCAAACGTGCTCGAACGTCCAGTTGATCTCGGGGATAAGTATCACATCACCGCCGCCGGCTATTCCGGAATGCAATGCGATGTGACCGGCGTGACGGCCCATCACTTCCATCACCATGATTCTTTCGTGCGAGGCTGCCGTGGTATGCAGCCGATCCAACGCGTCGGTGGCACAAGCCACAGCACTGTCGAATCCGAACGTGTAAGCGGTCGCCCGTAGGTCGTTATCGATCGTCTTGGGCACACCCACCACGGGGATGCCAAACTCGTGAAATTGTTGAGCAATCGTCAGCGACCCGTCGCCACCGATGCAGATCAAGCCGTCCAGCCCTAGCTGCTCGACCGTGAGTTGGGCGGCCTTCATCATTTCGGGGTCGATTCTTACCGTATCGTCCACGCCACTTCGGGCGGCGAACCGGCCCTTGTTCGTCGAACCCAGAATAGTGCCACCCAGGTTCAGAATGCCGGCGGTATTTTTGTGGTTCAGGGGGATGTACGTTACCGGGTCGACTAGGCCCTCATAGCCCTTGATGAAGCCCACACAGTCGTAGCCCAGTTGGAGTCCACTCTTCACGACACCGCGAATCACGGCGTTCAATCCGGGGCAGTCGCCCCCACTGGTCAAAATACCAAGACGCTTCTGAGGTTTACCCATGTTTGGAATACCTTAGGCGAGAATCAGGGGCGGGAGGCCGTAAATGGCCCTCGGCGAGAACCCGATGAAGAACTGTAGCTCGACCAGCCGCCCACTGGCGAATTGCTTGCAACGGGTATGCCGAAGAGTATCCTGTACGGTTCCTTTGATAGCGGATGTATGAAATATACCCCAATGTCGGGCTGAGTCCAGTAATCCAGCCGCACTACCCCCCTGCAAGAAGCAGTATTCGAAGCCTGCCTCGGAGAACCTTTGATGCCCCACCTGAGAAGCTGCACAAACTACGGCCTCCTGGCCATCGCCCTATTGGTCTTCGCTCCTTCCATCTCGCAGGCCGAAGATGCCCAGCACTCAGCAATCACGCCGGCCCCGCGAGAACAGGATTTCTGGCAGCAACGACAAGACAAGATCAACCAACGAACCCAAGCGGGAGATATCGAGTTGGTGTTCCTAGGCGATTCGATCACGCAGGGCTGGGAAAACCCTGAGGTGCAGCGTCAAGTCTGGGAACCCTACTACGGCGAACGCAAAGCGGCCAACATGGGCATCGGTGGCGATCGCACCCAGCATGTTCTGTGGCGGCTCGATCATGGCAACATCGATGGCATCTCTCCGAAGCTGGTCGTGCTGATGATCGGCACCAACAACTCCAATGGCACCGACAACACGGCCGAAGAGATCGCCGACGGAATCAAGGCCATCGTGGCCAAGTTGCGAGAGAAGCTGCCAGAAACCAAGATCCTGATGCTGGCCATCTTCCCCCGGGGCGAACAACCCAATCCGCAGCGTGAAAAGAATGCCAAAGCCAGCGAACTTGCCTCGGCCGTGGCCGACGGAGAGATGGTGCAGTACCTCGATATCGGAGAAGCTTTCCTGGATGAGAACGGAACGCTCTCCAAGAAGATCATGCCCGACTATCTGCACCTCACAGTCGATGGCTACCAGATTTGGGCCAAGGCAATCGAAGAGAAAGTCTCCAAAATGCTGGGCGAGTCTTAATCGCACCGACATTGCATCCGTACTAAGCTGGATTGGCAGGCGAGATCGGTGACCTTCAACCATGAGCAGCAAGGCAATCGATCGGGCCGCACAAGAAGCGGCAGCCGCCATTGAGCAAGCCGAGGCCCTGCTGATCTCGGCTGGTGCAGGCATGGGCGTCGATTCGGGGTTGCCGGACTTTCGAGGAAACGAGGGATTCTGGAAGGCGTATCCACCGTTTCGGCGATTGGGAGTCTCTTTCGTCGAGATGGCCAATCCCCGCTGGTTCGCTACCGATCCCGAGCAGGCTTGGGGCTTTTACGGCCATCGCCAGCAGCTTTATCGACGAACCCTGCCGCACGACGGATTCATTACCCTGCTCCGCTGGAGCGAGGCTCGTCCCCGCGGAAGCTTTGTCTTCACTAGCAATGTCGATGGCCACTTCCAACGTGCTGGTTTCGATGAGAATCAGGTGCTTGAGTGCCACGGATCGCTGAACTTTCTGCAGTGTGTGAAGGGGTGCCACGGAACAATCTGGTCCGATGAGCATCTGCAGATTGATATCGATTGCGATACCTTTCGCGCTGCCGAGCCGCTTCCGCGATGCCAACACTGCGACGGGTTGGCCCGACCAAATGTGTTGATGTTTGGCGACTACGGATGGCTCGAAGATCGAACCCTCGCTCAACAGCGGAGGTACGAACAATGGCTGCAAACAGTTGACCCCCGGAAGCTGACGATCATCGAATGCGGGGCGGGCACGGCCGTCCCCACAGTCCGGCTCGAGTCCGAGTCGCATCGGGCAACTCTCATTCGCATCAATCCTCGCGAACCGAATGTCCCGCGTGGAGGGATCTCGCTGCCGTGTGGCGCCCTGGAAGGCATCAATCGTATTGCCCGGTTTCTGGAGGGAAGTTCCACCGATGCCTAGTTGCTAGTGGGAACTGAGGAAATCGGCTCAAATATTCCGCGGGCCGTTCGAATTCTGGTTAGACGGCTGATAGACAACAATCGAGTGGAGAGAACGCGAGATGCGATCAACATGGCTTAGTTCAGCAGCGTTCCTGATGCTCGTCGCCATCGCTTCAGTCGTTTGTGCGGATGAACCTCGCTCCATTGATGAGCTGGCTTCTCGAGCTGATGAACTGGCGTCGCCCTTGGTCGAAACCGACTTCACGATGGGACTGGTTGTGGGGCTGCTGGTCGATGGCGAAACGGTGGTGCATGGGTTTGGAAGGGTTTCTTCCGAAGACGACTCAACCCCGGATGGGAGGACTCTCTACGAAATTGGCTCGATTACCAAGACGTTCACCACGCTCTTGCTGGCTGATGCTGTGCTGCGAGGGGAGCTTGAGTTGGACGACGAAGTCAATGATTTCCTACCCGAGGACGTTGGCTCCCTTAGCCACGACGGTCGTTGCATAACGCTGCTCGACTTGGCCACACACACCTCGCGATTGCCGCGGATGCCACGCAACTTTCATCCGGCCGATGCAGCAAACCCGTACGCCGATTACACGGCTGAGAATCTGTATGAATTCCTGGCGAACTACAAGCTACGCCGCACACCCGGCAGTGGCTACGGGTACAGCAACCTGGGAATGGGGCTGCTGGGTCAAATCTTGGCCGATCAGGCGAACACAGATTATCCCACTCTGCTTCGGCAGAAGATCACTGAGCCACTTGGACTTCAAAACACGGTCTTGGAACCGAACGACGACCAGCAAGCTCGACTGGCCCCCGGCCACGACGCGGATCTTCAGCCGGTGGCGAACTGGGATTTCCTCGCGATGGCTGGTGCCGGAGCGATCCGATCAAACGCAGACGATATGTTGCGTTACTTGCAGGCCAACCGTGGCGAGTTCAAACATCCTCTGCAAGAAGCGATGGAACTCTCACATTCAACACGACGCAGCATGGGAGTCGGTCAGGGCGAGATCGCTATGGGGTGGCACATACAACCTGGCACAGGGTTCCTGTGGCACAACGGTGGCACCGGAGGGTATCGCAGTTTTGCAGCGTTTCATCCTGAGAAGCAACTTGGTGTTGTAGTGCTCACGAACAGCACCACGTATACGCTTGATACCCTCGGTTTCAAGCTCACGCAATTGCTTGCCGGTAAAACTCCCGGGCCGCTGGATTTGCCCTCAGCCATCGAACTATCGCCAGAGAGGCTCAACGAATATGTGGGCAAGTACAACCTGTCGCCTGGTGCGGTTTTCGATATCGAACTTCAGGATAATCGGCTTATGGCACAGCTAACGGGGCAGGAGTCTGTGCGTATCTATCCTTCGGAAGAGGATGAATTCTTCTACCGCGCGGTCGACGCTCAAATCAGCTTCACCCGCGATGGGGAGGGAAACATCGACTCGCTCGTCTTGCATCAAAACGGGCGTGACATGCCGGCCAAGCGGGCGGCCGACAGCAAGTGAATTCAGGCCACTGCTCAAGATTGGGTGGAATCTAAGGCCGCATGTTCCTGATACCAAGCCACGAACTCGCGGACCCCGTCTTTGAACTCCACTTTGGGTTCATAGCCCAGAAGCTTCTTGGCCTTCGAGAGGTCGGCGAACGTAATCGGCATATCGCCCGGCTTCTCGGGCAGTCGATCGATTACAGCCTCTCGATTTAGTGCACTCTCGAGTGAGCCAATCACATCGCGGATCGCCACCGGATCGTGATGCCCCAGGTTGATGGCCTCGCCGACCACATTGTCGGCGTCGAGCGTAGCCATGAGGCCCGCGCATAGATCACTCACGTGAGTGAAATCGCGACGAATCGAGCCATCGCCGAACAGCGGCAGGGCTCGGCCCTCGAGGATGGCTCCGGTAAAGATCATCATCGCCAAGTCTGGACGCAACCGCGAACCGTAGACACTGAAGGGACGGATGGCGACCACTGGGACGCGGTGCAGGTCGAGATAGGTAAACCCCATCAATTCCGCGGCCCGCTTGGTCGCTCCGTAGGGGCTCATCGGGACGCCCAGGGGGTCGTCTTCCACGAACGGAACCCCGGCCCCTCGCCCGTAGACTGTGGATGAGGAGATGAGAACGAAACGGTCGACTGGATGCTGTCGAGCTGCTTCCAAGAGAGCGAGCGTGCCTCCGACATTCGTCTCTTGATAGAGCTGTGGATGATCGACGCTGTAGCGGACTCCGGCGTAGGCCGCCAAGTGAACTACGTGCCGAACGTCGTGGTCGGCAAAGAGCCTCTTCATCTTGTCCACGTCGCAGATCGATGCTTCGACCAACGCCACGCGGGGCTCATCTTTGAAGCGTTCTACGTTGGCCCTCTTCTGCGCCGGAGCGTAGAAGTCGTTGTAGTTGTCGAGACAGATGATGTCGTCGCTACGTCGTTCTAGAAGTAGCTCGATGAGATGACTACCAATGAATCCGGCCCCGCCGGTGACCAAAATTGACATACTTCGCCCGAACCCCAAAAAGCCACGACGATGGGGTCTCTTCGGGAGCCGTCCCACGAGGTCCACATCGCTCTATCGATTGCTGCGGTGAATGATACCGCAAACGGGCGAATGACCTAGATGCCAGATTTCCCCCAATATCATGGGAGATTGACTAAACCTGGCTGTACACCCGGCGATAGGTGTGGGCTACTTTCCGAGCAGCGTCGTCGACCGCGTGCCGTTGGCAGATTCTGAGCCGCGCGGCCGTGGCAAGCGAGGCGGCCTCGAACGGGTTGCTGAAGAGATGGATGATGTGACTGGCCAGGGCTTCGGCCGAGGTCTCTGCAGCGAGCAGGCCCGAGGTTCCCGGCTCGATGAGGTCGCTGGCGATCGAGTCCATCAACCCGACGACGGGCACTTCCATGCTCTGCGCTTCGATGATGGCTTCACCGCCCTTTGCACCTCCCACGATCAGCACGGCATCCATGGCCGCATAGACTTCCGGTGTGCGGTCCGACCATGGGACGACGTCGACCTTTTGACGATTGGCAACGAGTCGCGTGGTGGACGTCGAAGTTGTTGGAGCGGTTTGCCCACCGCTATCGAAGAGGATTAAGTGCACCTCGCCGAGAGCGGCTTCAATGAGATCGATGGATTCAAGGACGAGTTGGTGTTGATCAGGATCCCCGGCATCGATGCTGACACCAATCACTCGACGCTCGGGATCGATTCCCATCATTTGGCGGCAGTCATCTTCGACGGCATGTTTACTGAACGCCGTTGTATCGACACCGTACTGGATCACGTCGACTTGCGAGGGACGACAGCCGATGCGGCACAACTGTCGGGCAAGCTGATTGTTCACAGCGATCACGCGATCGAACCCGGCAAGAAGTTGCCGATCGACGTTGGCAATCCAAGTTGTGTTTCGCGGACCGTCGCGATCTTCAGTTGCGGTGGCAACCACGCGGAACCCAACCATGGGCTGCAACAGCAGAGCGATAAAGTGACTTCGCGCATCGTGAGTATGCACTATATCGGGGCGAAGCTTCCGCATCACTCGCAACAGACGCATCATGAAAGTTGGATCGATGCGACCCAGACGAACCAACTCGTGATGGTCGAAGTTGGTTTCGCTCTCTGGTGTGTTTTTTTGCGAGGGTTGCTTTCTGGTGCGGACCGTAACAACTGAGAGGCTGAATTCGTGCTGATCATCTGCTTGAACCAGGCGGCGACTGCGTTCAATGACGCTACGCCCGATAACCGGTCTGCGGCTATCGACGCATAGATGCACGATTCGTATCACCTGATTGTCCATGTCGCCTCGCTGAGGAAGCAGGCTGGCTCGCCGTTTGCCGAACAGCGTGAAACGCCTCTTCAGTGCGGTTCGGGGGCTGCGACGTTTGCGATTCGACGCTGTACGCGATTTGCCCGAAGCGCGTTTTTTCGACCTTTTTTGGCCCATGGCACTCGACCCAAATCTACGTTACGCCGAGGTTTTGGCACGGCGTTATTTACAAGTTCTTATACAGTAAACCTTTAGCAGGCAGACGAGTAAGCGTTCAGCGGCCGGTCAGATTCTCCCAACCCAACCGCAACAGGTTTCGAATGGCTTTGCCGACTTCCGAGCCGTCGATCTTCGATTCTCCATGAACGCGATTCACAAACACGATTGGCGTCTCGCCGAACCGGCAGCCCAACAGCTTGAGGCGCCAAAGCACTTCTTCTTGAAACACGTAGCCCTGTGAGCGAAACGAGTCGAAGTCGAGTTGAGCCATCATCTCGGTGCGGTAACAGCGGTACGCCCCACTGCAGTCGTGCGTGGGCAACCCGAGCAGAATTCGCGAGGCGAGGTTCACCGAGCGGCTCATCATGTGCCGCTTGAGCGGCCACCCAACGATGGCCCCACCTTTGACGTATCGCGAGCCCACCATAACGTCGACCGGCGACTCACCTTCCATTGCTTCGAAGATGGCCGGCAAGTATTTGGGATCGTGGCTGAAATCTGCATCCATGTTCAGCACGTAGGGGTAGTCGTGTTCGATTGCGTATTCGATGCCCGCGATGGTCGCGGTGCCCAGGCCCAACTTGCCAGGGCGGTGCAAGCACTTGAGCCTGGAGTCTTTTTCCGCGTACTCATCGCACCAAAGACCGGTTCCGTCCGGCGAGTTGTCGTCGATGACCAAAATGTCGGCTTCCGGGACCTTGGCGAAAATCGCCTCGACCAACCCGGGCAGATTCTCTATTTCGTTGTAGGTGGCCACCATGATCAGCGGCTTGTCACGATTGCTCATATGCCTGGGTCTCGGCAGTGGCAAGCCTTACTGAACCTGGTCCTCCGGAGTGGTGTCCGATCGGTAGGTATAGCCGCCTCGGGTAGGTGGAAGCTGGGATTTCGGCCTGTCGGTTTACTCGGTTTCGCCGTGGTGCGAACGTGAATTTAGAGACCGGCCTCCTTTTCGAAAGGCCAGTGAGTATACTTTGCCATATCTGCCCTCCTTATGAACGTAGCTTGAATGTTCCGACCCGCCGAATCGACTTCTTCGCAAAACTCCGCCAAGCCACCGGCCACGAACCGCGATCGCTCTCCGTACGACCAGGCATTCTGGTGTAATTACACGGCCAACACCCTCATCATGGTGGCTGTGAGTCTGTTGTTCCGTTACGCCGACTTTATTCATTATCTCGGTGGCACCGAGCTGAACCTGGGCTGGATCGTCGGGATCGGAATGATCGGCAGTCTGCTGATGCGAATGGCCCAAGGGCGGGGCATCGATCAGTTCGGCCCCCGCTTTGTGTGGGTGCTGTCGAACTGTCTGTTCGTCGTCAGCCTGTTGGCCCACCTGTTTGTATCCAACGTCGATGGGCCCGCGATATACATCGTGCGGATTGCGTTCAACACAAGTGTCGCAGGCATTTTTGGAGCCTCGATCACAAATATTTCACTCAGGGCTCCGACTCATCGACTGGCCGAAGTGCTCGGCACCCTGGGCACGTCTGGTTTTCTTGGCATGATGCTCGGCACTCTGCTGGGCGATCGCCTGTTCGGAACCGGTCCCATCGGGTGGGAAGACCTGCGGCATATGTTCATCGCCGCGGCCTGCCTGGGTACAGCCAGCATGGGGTTTGCTCTGCTCGCCACGCGGGAAGAAGTTCGGCACTCGCGACGACACAATCCACCAATGCTGTGGCTGTTGCGGCGCTATCACCCGGGCCGATTGTTGCTGATCGGAATCATGATGGGCGTGGGCTTGGGCATGCCGCAGATTTTCGTGCGTGCATTTACCGCCGACATCGGTCTGCCGGGAATTGCAGTCTTCTTCTGGATTTATGCTCCTGCGGCATTTGTTGCCCGCATGGCAACACGGCAACTGCCCGACCGGATCGGGGTGCGTCCGACGATCATCATCGGGCTGATCTGCCTGTCGTTGGGATGCCTGACCTTCATCCCGGTTACTCGAAATATCGAGCTGATTCCCTCGGCCGTGTTAATCGGTGTGGCACACGCGATGTTGTTTCCGGCTGTAATCGCCGGCGGATCAACGGGTTTCCCGGGGCGCTATCGCGGGCTGGGCACTACGTTAATGCTGGCGTGCTTTGATCTTGGAAATCTCTTGGGCATGCCGGCGCTGGGCGGGGTGATTCACATGTCGAAGCGGCTTGGCCTGCCAAGCTATCCGACGATGTTTATTTCGCTGTCGACCGTGATGGCGCTCGTCGCTGCGTGGTACGCCATTGGCAGCCGCGGTCAGAGCGGGGTACGAACAACTCCACGACGACAGCAATACAACTTTCGCAAGCGAGTGAAGGCGAGGGTCAATTCTCCGGCAAGCATTTCAGTGGCCGAAAATCGGGACCCGTTTGACAATCACGAACCGCCTCAGCTATCTGAATCGGATTCGAACCACGACAAGCAGCCCTGTTCAGCTGGCGGTTGTGGCAGCGATACTTGATTGTGAACGCTGCTTGTTAGGCGTCTTGCAGACGGGCAAACAGTTGGCCGTAGTCCTGGCGTTGCGCGATTTTTTCGTTCGCCTCACTTCCGTTCATCGCTGGCGGTGCACCGTCCTCGATGACGATTAGCGGCAATTCTTCATTCACCATGCAGTGTGACGAATACGCTTCTGCCTCGAGCGAGGCATCGGCAGGGCCCATCGAATCCGTCGAGTTTGCTGGTCCGCAGTCGCGTAGCAAGGTGATAGTGGCCAGCGACTGCATCTCGGGCATCACCGGATCGGAACTCGGGTCTTCGATGGGTGCGGCTCGACCAAGCGCGATCTGTGAATCATCGTAAGGGTCAGCTTCGGTATCTTGGGCGAATGGCCCCGGTGTGGGAATCGACTTCGGCGATTCTGGCTCAGCCGAGGCACTGGACTCTTGGACAATCGTCTGTTGAATCGAGGCCTCATCGGCAAAGTATGCAGACAGCTCGCGGGCCTCGGGGTCGAGCGGAGCGACGATCGAGCGCCCCATCAGCGAATCGAGGTTGGCATAGTGATCGACGATGATCTCCTCGTCATCAAAGTCGTCATCGAAACTGACAATCTCGCGAGTCTCTGTTGCCAGCCGAATTCCAACGGCTGCAGATGAGTCGTTCCGTTCCGAGCCAGCTTCATCGACATCGATCGACTCCGATTGACAGGCTTCGTCCAACTCCCCAAAGGTGGCTGTCACTCGATCCAGTGTTTCGTCGATGGTCTCAATCGCAGACTCATCGCTGATCGAATCCTCTTCGGCATCGTCCCATGCCGGCTGAGTCTTCGAAGAAGAATGCGTGGTCGATACATCAAGCCCGTCATCGTCGAGTTCGCCGAATTCGATCACGCCACCTTCGGCTTCGTCGCCCAAGGACCCTAGCGAAGACGACTCGTTCCACGGTGCTGGCAGTTGTTGCAGGTCGGCCCAGGCCTCCTGGATCCCGGCGGCGTCAATTCGCGACTGCCCCCCGGCAGCGGCCAGGGTCATTGTGTGATCGCAAAGTTGAACCACCAAGCGGGGGATGCCTTCGGTGGCATTGTAGATCTGGTCGATTGCCTCGGGAGAAAAGATTTCTTCGCTATCACCTCCGGCTGCAGCGAGCTGGCTGCTGATGAACTGGCTTGTCTCCCCGCGATCCCAGGCGCTCAGATAGCAGCGAGCGGCAAGGCGCTGATTGAAGGAGTCGAGCTTGGGATGAGTGAAGCGTTCTTCCAAAGCTGGTCCGCCGGAGAGTACGAGTCGCACCCGGGGCTCACCGCCACGGACCAGGTTGCTCAGCATTCGCAGCTCTTCAAGCACACGCAGATTTAATGAGTGAGCTTCATCCACAATCAGCAACATGCCGTGGGGGCACTTCTCGCTGCGGGACAGAAATCCAATCAAGGCGAGTCGCAGCTCACCTTCATCGCGACGGCGATAAGGCAGCCCCAATTCGAATAAGATGGCGCGAAGCAAATCGCGGGTGCTCTTGATGCGGGTGTTGCTCAGCAGCGCAACCGAGAACCGCGAACGGAAGTGCAATGCCAGCACTTCGCACAATAGCGTCTTGCCACTGCCGGCAGGACCAATCAGCAGGCCAGGGCCTTCCGCTCGATCAATCCCACGGACCAGGGTTTGGCGCGCTTCTTCAATTACATCGGCCGGGAAGTATCGGGACACTTCAGGCGTCGGGCTGAACGGTCGGTTGCGAAGGCCCCAGATCGATTCGTACATGAGGTGAGCTGCCTAGCTTGATTGAACTGATTCCAGGTCTGCGACAAGGGGTCGCACTACAGATAATGTGAATCGTTGAGTGCACAGAATTCGTAGTGCGAGGTACCGAAGCGAACTTCAGTGGATGAGAAAGGGCCGGCCGATCTCCCCGTGTCCACCCATCGCCGTGAAGATGACCACACAGAGCTAAGAATCGGCATCTATGGCATACCGCTTCAACTAGAGCTGATCAGTCGAGAAGATGAAGTCATTTCTTCACACCAGCATTTGGCTCCCTTATACATTCCATCGCCCGTCGCTGGTTGATGCCCCGCAGCTAAGCACAACCCTGCCCCGGGTGACCTGATCGTCACAATCGTTACAATTAAACATTCCAGAGACTGTCGACGAGATAAGCAGTCTCTGAGCTCCGTGGTCCGGAGCGTGTCGCGTAGATGTACCTGCGAGTTGTTGGATGAACGACGTTTTGTTTCACGTGAAAATCTGTGGTGTCACCACGGCGGACGATGCGCGGATGATTGCCGACAGTGGCGCGGACGCCATTGGTTTGAACTTCTACCCGAAGAGTTCGCGATACGTTGACGACTCAACCGCGGAGCAAATCGTCGCCTCGCTTCCCTCGAACATTCGTCGCATCGGCGTCTTCGTCAACGAACCGGTCGCTGAGATGCGACGACGCGCCGAGCGGTTCGGCTTGGATGCAATTCAACTTCATGGTGATGAAGCGCCCGATATGATCGACGAACTGGACGGGCTCACCGTCATCCGTGCGTTTCGCGTTGCCGACAGCTTGGCTCCGATCGAACAGTTTGTAAGCAGCGCGCAACAGGCCTCACGACACCTAGCCATGCTGCTGGTCGACAGTCGCAGCCGAGGGCAATACGGCGGCACCGGTGAGACGGCCGACTGGAAGTTGCTAGCCCGACACAGCGACCATCCCGACTGGCCCCCCCTGGCGTTGGCTGGAGGGCTGACGCCTGAGAACGTCGCTGAGGCCATCCGCCAGGTTCGTCCAGCCGCGGTGGATACGGCGAGTGGTGTGGAATCGTCTCCCGGGCGGAAGGCCCCCCAACAGGTGCGGCGGTTCGTTGATAACGCCAAGGCAGCGTTGGCCGAGATCGCGTGAGGGCCTCAGTTCTGCAGGGCATCGCAGGCTGGTTGCTGCCCGGGGAATTAAGTCAGGAAGCTTGCATTCGCCCCTGCCCCAAGGCTAACAGCTCATGAGCACTTGTGGCTGGTGAAGCCTTGTCTCTATGATATAGTGCTCATATTCCAGGAAGACCCGTCGCAGGCACAGGGAACGGATCGGTGCCGTGGCGATCTCGATGTGGCCATGAACTCGTTGGGGAGAATGCTGTGGCGCAAGTTGATACCAAGCTGCCGTACAAGGTCAAAGATCTTTCGTTGGCCGAATGGGGACGTAAAGAGATTGAGTTGGCTGAAAACGAAATGCCAGGCCTGATGGCGCTTCGTGAAAAGTACGGCAAGGACAAACCGCTCAAAGGCGCCCGAATTGCAGGCTGCCTGCACATGACCATCCAAACGGCCGTGCTCATCGAGACACTGGTCGAGCTCGGTGCCGAAGTCACCTGGAGTAGCTGCAACATCTTCTCCACGCAAGATCACGCTGCCGCGGCCATCGCTGAGGCTGGAGTGCCCGTGTATGCCTGGAAGGGCATGACCGAGGAAGAGTTCGACTGGTGCATCGAACAGACTCTGCACTTCCCCGACGGCGAACCGCTGAACTTGATCCTGGACGACGGTGGTGACCTGACGGCCATGGTCCACAACAAGTACCCGCAGTTGCTCGAAGGGATCAAGGGTCTCTCTGAGGAAACCACCACGGGTGTCCACCGCCTGTACCAAATGCACGCCAACGGCGAGCTGAAGGTGCCGGCCATCAACGTGAACGACTCGGTGACCAAGAGCAAGTTCGACAACCTCTATGGTTGCCGCGAGTCGCTTGCCGACGGCATCAAGCGAGCCACCGACGTGATGGTGGCCGGTAAGGTCGTGGTCATCGCCGGCTATGGGGACGTCGGTAAGGGCTGTGCACACTCGATGCGTTCGCTGGGTGCTCGGGTAATCGTCACCGAGATCGACCCTATCAATGCCCTCCAGGCACTGATGGAAGGTTACGAAGTGACCACCATGGAAGAGGCCGCCGCACGCGGAAACATCTTCGTCACCACGACCGGCAACCGCGACATCATCACCGGTGAGCACATGAAGGTGATGCCGCACGACGCGATCGTCTGCAACATTGGCCACTTCGATCTCGAGATCGACATGGCTTGGCTAAACAGTCAGAAGGACGTGAAGAAGGTCGAGATCAAACCGCAGGTCGATCGCTACACCTTCCCCGATGGCCACGCGATCCTCATCCTGGCCGAGGGTCGGCTGGTGAACCTCGGCTGTGCCACTGGGCACCCGTCGTTCGTTATGTCGAATTCGTTCTCGAACCAGGTCATCGCTCAGCTGGCTCTGTGGCAAGAGCCGGAGAATTACCCCCTGGGTGTCCATGTGCTGCCCAAGGAGCTGGACGAGGAAGTGGCCCGGCTGCACCTTGACCAGCTGGGAGCCAAGCTCACCAAGCTGACAAAGGTCCAGGCCGACTACATCGGCGTGCCGGTCGAAGGCCCCTTCAAGCCTGAGTACTACCGGTACTAAGCGGCCACGCTCGGCCGCTGAATCCCTGCCCAACGGCAGGGCGTTGACAATCTCACAGGGCTCCGGGATAACACCCGGAGCCCTGTTCGTTTTACCTTCTAGGACATCACGGCGGTGCCGCACTCGGGCGACGGCGGCCGGTGGGGACCTGAGAGCCGCTGTCCTTACAATCTCCCCGCGAGGGGTCGGAGACCCTAAACACCATGGCCGACATTCAAGCATTCCGCGGACTACGATACGACCTGGGACACGTAGGCTCGCTGAGCAATGTGGTGGCCCCGCCGTACGACGTCATCGACGACGCTCTCCGCGACCGGCTCTACAACCAGCATCCGGCCAACGTCATCCGACTGATCCTCAACCGGCCGGAGCCGGGAGACGGGGAAGGTGACCAGTACAAGCGGGCTGAGAAGTTCTTCCGTCGGTGGCAGGAAGAAGGCGTCCTGTTCACCGAGCCCGACCCCGCGGTGTATGTCTACCATCAGGTGTTCGAGGTCGAAGGTGAGCAGCACACTCGGCGGGGGTTTATCGCCGGGGTGCGTCTCGAGCCGTTCGGCGAGGGTCACATCTACCCGCACGAAGAGACCATGCCTGGTCCCAAGAAGGATCGCCTGGCCCTGACCAAAGCCACACGTGCGAACCTCAGCCCGATCTTCGGCCTGTACCCAGACCCCGAGTCGGAAGCACAGGAGCTCCTCGAGGCCTCCGTGGCCGGTAGTGCTCCGCTGGAAGCCACGGATCACCTGGGAGTCGTCCACCGCATCTGGCCTGTGACCGACGTAAAGCTGATATCCCAACTCGCCGGCGTGCTGGGCTCCAAGCCCATCTTCATTGCTGACGGACACCACCGCTACGAGACCGCCTGCAACTACCGCGAGTCTCTGGAGACCGACGGACCGCTCGATGCGGGCCACCCAGCGAACTTCGTCCTGATGACCTGCGTGGGCATGAGTGACCCCGGCATGCTGGTCCTGCCTACGCACCGGCTGTTCCGTGGAGTACCGTCTCTGAGTAGCGAAGAACTTCAGCACAAGCTGGGTGAGTGCTTCGACACCAAGGTAGCCGGCGAGGGGACCGACCTGGCCACGATGCTGTGGGAGCAGATCTCCGCGGAAGACGACCAACACACGGTGGGACTCTACACGGCTAAGGACGACCGCTGGATCGTGGCCACGCTGAACGACACCGGTGCCCAGCGACTGGCCGAGGTGGCCTCTGACCGTAGCGAAGTCTGGCGGGGTCTCGGCGTGAGCATCCTGCACCGTCTGATCGTTGAGACATTGCTCGACGCGAAGGACATCCCGAAGCCGACTTTCGTTCACCAAGTCGACGAGGTGATCGAACATGCCGACTCCGGAGAGTACCCGCTGGCGGCTCTGGTCATGCCCGCCACGCTGGATCACATCCAGAAGATCAGCGAACTCCGCGAACGCATGCCAGCCAAGAGCACCTACTTCTACCCGAAGCTGATCACCGGGATCGTTTTCAAACCACTGGAGTAGTGGCGTAGACGTTCGCTGCAGCGTGCGGCCTTGCAGGCACGGAGGGATCTCGAGCTCGGTACACTCCGGGTAATCCCTTGCCGTACGCCCCCTGGAATCGAGCTCGGCCGTCAATCAGACCGATTCACTCTCTGCTCCGTGCAGCACTGAACGAGCCTGAATTCCATTGGGGGGAACGAGGCCGCTGTCTACGTGCGTGCCAGCACGCACGCTACGCATGATGCCTCAATCTGCCTGCGGCTGTTCCGGCTGTGCGGTGTTTCACGTGAAACACGGATCTCGCGTTTGCGGCCTTTGACTCGCTTTGGTGTTTCACGTGAAACACGAAAAATAGGTCGAGTTCGCGATTGGCAGCGACTAGCAGCGTGCCGCCGGTCGCCCGGGACAAAGTTTATCAGCCGGACCGGTTGTGCCGATCCTAAGGTTGTCGCTGCGAAACCGTGCTGCCCGCACTGCTAGTAGCGGCCCCGTGGGGGCACGTGAGACTCTTGTCAGGGAAGCGATCCGTTGAGCCGCATTCTGTGCGTGGCAAATCAGAAGGGCGGTGTCGGCAAGACGACCACGGCCATCAACCTCGCCACCGCGCTGGCTTGCGGCGGGACCAAGACATTACTGATTGACCTCGACCCTCAGTGCAACGCCACCGGAGGGCTGGGACAGAAACCAACCGAACATCACCCCTTGGTCTCACGCGAACCCTTGAAGCAGTCGCTCCGCAGCACTCCGACGCCCGGCCTGGAAATGCTGCCCGGCAGCCGCAGCTTCCACGACGTAGAACGGTTGGCCTCAGCCGATGCGACGCATGCAGCTACGCTTCGCCAGCACCTGGCCAGCGGACTGTCTTCTTACGACTACGTAATGATTGACTGCCCCCCGTCGCTCGGCCCGCTAACCCGCACAGCACTGTCCAGCGCAACCGAAGTATTGATGCCGATCCAGTGCGAGTACTTCGCCATGGAAGGGCTCACCCAGATGATCGAGGTCATCCGCGAGGTGATGAGCATGCCCGAGAGCCGGCTTCAATTCGGGGGCATCGTCTTGACGATGTACGACGACACCTTAGAGCTGACCCAAGAAGTCGAACGTGAGGTCCGCGAGTTTTTTGGTGAGATTGTGTTCGACACATTTATTCCACGCGATGTGGCAGTGAGTGAATCACCCAGCCACGGAGTGTCTGTACTCGACTATCAACCCCGTGCTCGCGGTGCCCGCGCGTACGTTGAACTTTGCATGGAGGTAATGGAACGTGAATAATCAACGACGCCTTGGACGTGGGTTGGAAGCCTTGCTTGGCCGCACCGGATCGGACGCTCCTGAAGGAGCCGAGGCCGCGCCGGCACCGCAGGCACCGCCGCAGCAACCTCCGCAAGCACCGCCTCCAGTACAGCCAGAACTCCGCGTGGTGGGTGCCGACTCGGACGGTAGCGGACTCGAAGAGATCAGCGTCTACGAGATCGACAACAACCCGTTCCAGCCGCGGCAAGATTTCAACCAGGCCGAAATCGAAGCCCTCGCCGAGAGCATCAAAGAGCATGGACTGCTGCAACCGATTGTGGTCCGTCGCGTCAACGATCGCTATCAACTCATCGCTGGCGAACGACGCTTGCGTGCCGCCACCAAGGCCGGCCTGCAGCATGTGGCCGCGCAGGTGAAGTCGGCCGACGACCGCCTGGTGGCCGAGTTGGCCATCGTTGAGAACTTGCAACGCAAAGACCTCAACCCGTTGGAAAAGGCCGCCTCGTTCCAGAAGTACTTGAGCACCTACGGCGGAACCCAAGAAGAGTTGGCCGGCCGTCTCAAGGTGAACCGCTCGACGGTGGCCAACCTCATCCGTCTTTTGGAACTGCCCGAAGAAGTTCAACAGGCACTTCACACCGGCGGCATTACTCAGGGTCACGCGCGAGCATTGCTGCCGCTTGGTGATCAGCACCAGCAGGTCGCCTTCTCGAAACGGATCTTTGTCGAGCAACTCAGCGTTCGCGAGACCGAGACGCTGGTCAAAGAGATGATCCAAAAAGAAGACGCCAATCCGCTGTCGGTTGTCTCTGAAGAGGGTGATTCGCAACCGGCCAAGCCGCGTGCCAGCAGCGAGCACCTGCAGTCGCTCGAGCAGCAGTTCCGCACCGCGCTGGGCACCAAGGTCGACATCCGCCAGGGTGCCAAAGGCCGCGGTCGCATCGTGATTAACTTCGCCAATCACGATGAGTTCGAACGTCTCATGGATCACATCTGCCAGGGCCAGCAGAACCAACCGGCAGCCGAGGCCGCCTAGACGCGAGCTGGCTTTCAGGTTGTGTTCGTTCGGAATTGATAGCGTGTGCCCTGAGTCTCCAGTAGCAATGCCCGCGCCAGCGGATAGCAACGCCAGGATCCGTTGCCAGCGGAGTCGGTCGCGGGTACGATGCCAGGACCGGCGAACCGGGGGCTGCGGCGGGTGTCATCCCTGATAGACACCTGTCGAGGGATCCCCGCCGGGAGACACAAGCACATCAGAATTGCTCGGGGCGTGGCGCAGTCTGGCTAGCGCACCTGCTTTGGGAGCAGGGGGTCGAAGGTTCGAATCCTTTCGCCCCGACTCATTTGGGAAGGTTTCGCCCCCGCGCGAGACCTTCCTTTTTTATTGGTCCAAATCTCGTGTTAGTGCCCCGCAACTCAGCCAGGTGGGAAATCCACTTGACTTTCCCGAGACATATGCCGATATTGCCATATAGACATGAATGAGAAAACTCGCAAGCGATACGAAGCCCGCGCCAACATTGCCAAGGCGATGGCGCACCCCAGCCGATTGCTGATGCTCGATCTTCTGCAAGCACAGGAGATGTGCGTTAACGATCTAACGGAGAAGGTCGGGGCCGACCAATCGACCGTGTCGAAGCACCTGGCCGTGCTGAGGGATGTGGGGCTGGTTGCCGTCCGGAAGGAAGGGGCGCTCAGCTACTACCGAGTTGCATGCGGGTGTTTGGATGGATTCTTTTCGTGCCTCGAGTCGGTGTTGAAGTCCGACATCGAACTGCGAAAAACGACTCTGGATTAATTTTTTTCTTCCTATGCATGGCAATATTGCCATATGGAAGAACTGGAATAAAACTCCCCCGATGCTTCCACATCCGTTCCACTCACACCTGAGAGGCAACAAACCGCGATGAGTTTCTTCGAGCGATACCTCACCCTGTGGGTAGGGTTATGCATCGTCGCCGGGATTACACTTGGCAAGCTAGCACCTGGAATCGCCGGGACCTTGGATGGGATGTCGATCTATGTCGATCAGGCGCCGGTGGTCTCGATTCCCATCGCGATCTGCCTGTTCTTCATGATGTACCCGATCATGGTGAAGATCGACTTTGGTGAAGTACTGCAAGCAGGTAAGGCTGTGCGACCAGTCGGGCTGACACTCTTCATCAATTGGGCGATCAAACCATTCACCATGTACGCGATCGCCAGTTTCTTTTTGGGCACGCTGTTCCTTGGATTGATTGGTCCTGATGCGGTTGACTACGTCAAACCTCCCATCGGCAAAAACCTCGCAGTTGGCAGTGCCTATGGTGCGGGAAAGATCGTACTCATTGACGGCGTGAAGATGTTGGAGATTCCTCTCTGGCGAAGTTATCTGGCAGGCTGCATTCTGCTGGGAATTGCTCCGTGCACCGCGATGGTGTTGGTGTGGGGATACCTGGCCAAGGGAAACGATGGCCACACTCTGGTGATGGTCGCCGTGAATTCGCTAACCATGTTGGTGCTGTACGGAGTGCTCGGAGGCTTGCTGTTGGATGTTGGCAAACTGCCCGTGCCATGGCAGGCGCTGGTGATTTCAATTGGGCTCTATGTGGCCCTACCTCTTGCGGCTGGGTTCTTCTCTCGCAAATGGTTGATTGCTCAATACGGAGAAGTCTGGTTCCGAGAACGCTTCTTGCACTTCTTAACCCCAATCACCATTACCGCACTGCTCGCGACACTCGTCATTCTGTTTTCGCTCAAGGGCGAAACGATTCTCGACAATCCGTTGACCATCCTGTGGATTGCGCTTCCGCTCACCATCCAGACGCTGGTGATCTTTGCACTCGGATACGCGGCTTCAAAGGTACTTGGGTTGAGCTACGAAAACGCCGCACCGACAGCAATGATAGGAGCCTCCAACCATTTTGAAGTCGCCATCGCCACATCGACGATGCTGTTTGGTCTCTCGTCGGGGGCCTCGCTAGCTACCGTGGTTGGCGTGCTCATTGAAGTACCATTAATGCTGTTGCTCGTCCGCTTCTGCAAGGCAACCTCCGCCTGGTTCCCGCGCGATGTCGTACCAATTGAAACCCATCAGCAAGAACACGACCCTGCAGTCGCTCAGGCTTAACCGAACTCGAATCGAAGAAAGATGTCCAATCGTGACCAAGCGAGTTTTGATACTTTGCACGGGAAATTCCTGTCGCTCACAAATGGCCGAGGCTCTTTGGAATCGCCAGGCTGAAGGAACTTGGGCCGCACAGTCAGCCGGCTCGAAACCTTCCGGGTACGTCCATCCGCTGGCCATTCGTGCAATGCAAGAATTGGACGTCGACCTCTCGGTACACACGAGCAAGTCGCTTGAGCCATTCTTGAAAGAAGACTTCGACCTGATCGTGACCGTTTGCGATAATGCCAAGGAAGCTTGCCCGATATTTCCTGGCGCAGCGAGAACCGTGCATATGCCATTTGAGGACCCTGCCGACGCTACCGGCACTGAAGCCGAGCAGTTGGAGGTTTTTCGAAAAGTGCGAGATGAGATCAACGCGAAAATCCAATCCTTCTTGAAATCGGAATCCGAGGGAGCATCAATATGACCACCCAATCCGCCGTCGATTTTCCCGGCAACCAACGTCTGCATGTGGCGTTGAACGTATCAAACTTGGAGCGTTCGAAGCGATTCTATGAATTGCTTTTTCAGCAGCCACCGAGCAAGGAGCGTCCGCGGTATGCGAAATTCGAACCGACGGATCCATCGGTGAACCTCACGCTGAATGAGATTGACAACTCGGTCGACGTAGCGGGGGGCTCGGCGCATTTCGGCGTTCAAGTGAAATCGGTCGAAGCGGTTCACGCCGCCATCGAGCGATTCAAAGCCGCCAATATCGAGACCATCACCGAAGAAGCAACCACCTGCTGCTACGCCGTGCAAGACAAGGTGTGGGCGATCGATCCCGATGGTCACAAGTGGGAGGTATTCGTCGTGCTTCAGGCCGACGCCAAGGATGAACTCTACGCCCAATCTGGCTGTTGCGAGCCGGACGTGGTAGAGATTGGCAAGTGTGAAAACAAGTAGAGTTGGGCAAGACACTATTATCCATGGCAGGGATGTTATCTCGTCGGACGTTGCACCACCACCGACTTGGTAACCCTTGCCGTGGCGATCAACTTGCCTTCAACTTTTGCTTCGCTCTCAGCGAAGATTAGGGTTCGGCCCCGCCGGGTTACACGACCAAACAGCTCGATCGTTTCACCCTCAGCCACGGGACGCATCACGCTGACATGAATGTCGTGTGTTACCGCGTTTTCGCCGCTCCTTAACAGTGGGATGACGGCCAAATAAGCGGCTGCGTCGAGCAGGGCGTAGTAGATTCCGCCGTGTACGACACCGACATTGTTCAACGTGTTCGGACCCGCCACGACTCGGGCGTGGGCTACTCCGGGTGTTTGCTCGATAAGTTCGAGCCCCACGAAGCGATGGAGTGGCACCTCTAACACTTTTACCACGGCTTGTTGGCACGCTTCGGGCGAAAGTTGCGCCGTCGTCTCGGGCGGTTGTTTTGCGTCGTCGCTCATGGTCGAATCGTTTAATCGAGCTTCTCGTCGTGAAGGTCATCGTTGTTGATTGTACCGGATGCATCAGGCGATATGCACGAAAGTCCAAACGAGATCGATCCGAAACAATTCGAGTTGGCCGTAGATCAACTTCGCGATGCACAACGAGTGGTTGTGTTCACCGGCGCAGGTATTTCGGCTGAAAGTGGCATTCCAACTTTTCGCGATGCCGGTGGGTTGTGGAGCGCGTTTCCTCCCGAGCAATTCGGTCACATGGGCGGACTCACGCAAGTGGCGATGAGCGATCCGAAAAGACTGGTCGCATTCCTATTGGCGGTGCTGGAGCCAATTGCGGTAGCAGAGCCAAACGCCGGACACTTAGCAATCGCCGGATTAGAGACGCACAAGCATGTGGCCATCATCACACAAAACATCGACGCCTTGCATCAAGACGCAGGTAGCGAAACGGTGCACGAGGTTCACGGTTCGCTGCTGGAGATCGTCGACCGTCACGGCAAGCACATTCGGCATCTCGCCCGCAACGACCTCAATGCGTTGGTTGCGGAGTTGCAAAACGTTAAGGAGCGTCACTTCGCTCTGCCGCGAGCGTTGATCGCATTGCGGAAACTGGTTGGTGTCGACCTGCGGGGGATGCATCGCCCAAACATCGTGCTCTTCGGCGAAGCGTTGGCCGAACCGGCCTGGAGTCACTCGGTCGAAGCTGCGTCGGATTGCGATGTAATGCTGCTGGTTGGCACTTCGGGTGAAGTTTATCCGGCCGCGATGCTGCCCGACTATGCGGCCTCCTCCGGAGCGGCAATCATCTCGGTCGACCCGTATCCCACGCTCGGCGACATTCGTCTTCAAGGCACTGCGACGAAGATCCTCCCGCGGCTGGTGGATGCGGCGATCAGCAGTGAATAGTCTACAGGTCCGCTCGACAACTGGGTTCCACCGGACTCAGGAAGCCCTCGACCCTTGACATCGTGGGGATGGCCGCGAAGCTAAAAGATTCGGTTGGCCAGCGGTGCCGACTGCGGAACCTTTGCACTAGGAGACGTCGTCATGCGACTTTGCCGCGTAAGGCACAACGGCCACAACCAGATAGGGCTTTACGACGAAAAGCAGATCGTGCTTGTCACCGCGGCCGCCGAGGCACACAGCAAAGCCACCGGGACCGCTTACCAGGTGCCCACGGGTGACAATTTACTGCCATTTTTGCCACCCGATGGCGATGCCTTCTCGGCAGTTTACGAACTGCATGAGTGGTGCTCTGAGCATCCAGACAAACTGCCGGAACGGGCACTCGTGGAAACCGATACGGCGGAGTTACTGGTGCCGATTCCGCGCCCCAAAAAACTGTTTCTGTTGGCCGGGAACTATGCAGCCCACATCGAAGAGGGTGGCGACCGTGCGGCGGAGCGGGCGGAAACATTTCCTTACGTCTTCATGAAACCGCCGACAACCACGCTCACCAATCCTGGCGAGTGCGTGATCTTGCCC